GGACATAGGAGGAGAGAGAGGGAGAGAAGAGGAGAGGGAGGGGGGAGGGAGGCCCAGTCAGAGACAAGCCCTAGCTAGGAGCTATGCCAATGGAGAACTGAAGACGATGAGGCGGGTAGGAAGCATAGCTTGCCCCAGTTTGCTTCTCAGAAGGTCCAAATGGAATAGAAGAATTAGCCAGCATTCCTTCCTAAGGCCTCAAGAGGCTGCGCTCCTGACTCATTGTTGTGTGGCCGTTTCTGGCGCTCTCCTTGCCTGGGCTCCAGAGCGGGGGAGGGCCGGGTCAGTGCTGGTGAGTGGTAAGGGCTGCCTGGTGACTGAAGCCTTGCCACAGGCCGGCCCATTCTGACGGCCCAGAAGCCCACTTTCGCTGTGGCCCTGATCTGCTCCCCTCCCTATTTGAGACATATTGGAAGGAAAGCCTTAAACGCTGCTCTGCAGACTGCTTCCCATTGGCCGGCTTGATTGCTCGGGGAGCCTGGCCAACTCATGCGTGGCAGGGTCTTACTGTTACTGGGCCCATAGTAGGGCATCTTTGAGGCTGAGCACCAGCGAATAGCCTTGGACAGGCCACTGCCTAGAATCATAGCTGGAAGGGGCCTCAGAGCATCTAGTCTAGTCCATCCTAGAAGAAGAATCGCCTCTACACCATCCCCAGCAAAGAGCCAGCCTGCCTCTCCTTGAATACCTCCAGGGATGGGGAGCTCACCCCCTCCCAGGCAGTCCATTCCTCTTTCAGACAGGTCTGACTTGTTTGGAAGGTTTCCCTAAGATCTAGGCTAAGTCCACCTCCCTATGACTTCCCAGGGCTTTTGATTCTGCCCTCTTCAGCAGAGCAGACCAAGATGAATACCTCCTCCACGTGCCAGCCCTTCAATGACTAGAACATGCCGATGATGTTTCCTCTCTCCAAGGCTCTTTGAACTGATCTTCATGTGGCATGACCCAAAGGCTCTTCCCCAGGCTTTCTGGCCACTCCCCAGCTTATCCAGGAGCTTCCTGAAATGAGGTGTCCAGAACTGAGCAGAATGTGACCAGGTCAGAGGCGGCAGCAAACTTCTCACCTCCCTGGTTATGGTGCCTCAGTTTCCTTTCCTGCAAGGCAGAGGGAATGTCTTGTATTTGCATAGTTCTTTCTGTTTGCCCAGGGTGCCCAAATCCACTTACTCATTTAATACATACCCTCCTGAGATAGGGAGGATAGAAATCACACCCATTTCACAGAGGGGGAGATTGAGACAGAGAGGTTACACTTCTTCTCTGAGGTGGGATTTGAACCCAGGTCTTTCCAACTCCAAATTCAGCACCCTATTCGCCAACACAACACTATTTCTCTCAAGAAGCACAGTCAGGAAGAGAGGCAGGATGAGAAGCCAGGACTCCTGGCTCCTTCCTCTAAATCTAGCTGCCTTTCATGGTGGCATGGGACCATCCGGAGGAAATCCCATTCCATTCCTTGAAAGGCCACAATTGGGAAGAGGGGTTACCCTGGTTTGCTTGGCGCCAGAGGAGAGAACCAGGAGCTAGGGGGGAAGTTTGGTCTGGATGTCAAGAAAAGTTTCTGCACGAGGAGAGCCAACCCAGAGTGGCCTGGGCTGACTTGGGAGGTGGAGGGCTCCAAGCAGAGGCTGGACCATGGTTTGTCAGGGATATCTCAGAGGCCCTTTACCTTGGGGTCTGTGGACTTCCAAGAGTTCATAAACTTGGATGAGGGAAAATGCATATCTTTATTTCAGTGTTTTTAGTTTCCTTTGTAATATATTTGATTTTATTTTACGACTTTAAAAGGTTTTTCTGAGAAGGGGTCCATGGGCTTTCCCAGACTGCCCAAGAGGTCCACAACACAAAGGAGGCTTGGAATCTCTGCTAGAAAGGGATTTTGTAGTCAGGTCTGGGCTGGACTGGATCAAATCAGGTCCATTTAAATAAGAATGATGATAATTGTGCCTCCTCTTCTGGGAATCAAATAATCACCTCTATTCCTGGAAAGGCTATGTCAATCAATCACCGGGGAGGACTGACTCTGCCGCTCACCATCCCTGTGACTCTGGAGAGCAATCCCTCCCTGGCCACGTGGGAATGTGTTATCTTTCTCTGTTACAATGGCAGCGGAGACTGTCTCCCTTGCTTTTGCATTGCCGGAGTTTTCATTGTTGTTCAGTCATTTTCTCAGTCGTGTCTGACTCTCTGTGACCCCATTTGGATGTTTTCTTGGCAGAGATACTGGAGTGGTTTGTCATTTCCTTCTCCGGTTCATTTTACAGATGAAGAAACTGAGGCAAACTGGGTGAAGTGACTTGCCCAGGGTCAAACAGTTAGGAAGTGTTTGAGGCTGGATTTGAATTCAGGCCTAGCTGCCCCCTTCGCGCTTTGCTGGACATAATAAGCCAGCCCTTAATTTTCGTTCATTTCTCCTGTGCTCTAAGGTTTAAAGGGGCCACAATGGCCCCAAACCCACTGTTTATGGAACAGGCTCTGGGCAGGTGCATGGGACCCCCGGCTCTATCTGCTTGTCATCAACGGTGTTTCTGAGTCTATGGGAAGTTGGACAAAGATAGAAATTGAAAAAATAAAAAAAGATAGAAATTGCACCACCTGGAAATTACCAGTACAAAGCTTTGAAGGCAAAGCTGCTTTTTACAGAAGCCAGCTCTGGGAGCTCTCCAAGGCCCAGCGAGGCCTTGGGAAAGTATTTTTTCAAACAACGTTTTGATGGGAACTTGCTTGGAAGAAGATAAGGCCGGCTTCCCCTCTCTCCTGACCAATTTACCTTCTCTTTTCTGAAAGGCTAACCTGGAAGACCTCCTGACCTCTGGTCCCATGGGCCTCAGAGGATTGGAGCGTATGAGAGATGTCCGCCTGACCTTCCTAATCGCTCCGAAGGAGAAGACGCTTGTAGATGCCGCCCCAGCCCGAGCCGAAACCCCCCTGGTTGCCTGAGACTTGGAGCAGAAAGCCGATAGCAAGTCTCCTTCTGGCATGAGATCTAAGGACCGACCGGCTCCCCCAGGAGCTGAGCCCTCCCTATTAATACCCCACTTCTCCCAGTCCAGGAGTTTGTGGTGCCTTTGATCTTGACAAGAAGAGGGTCCAGAGCTTGTCTGCAGAAAGGCTTCATGACTCAGCCCTCATCCACTCTCTCTCAGCCAGGGACCTGAG